CCCAGTCACCTTTCACAGCTGATGTCTGCAAGGAAAATAAATATTTATTTTGTAGCTATAAACTCTTTGCCTCAAATGAAGATCACTTGCACAGTGTGTGCAATAGCTACCTTTGTTTCACTGTGATTACTTCAAATAGCTGAGATGTTATTCATGGAGAGATGGTATCAAAGGAAAAGTTGGTCTCTAGTTTTGCCTAGGCTTTAGAAGACCCTTCCAGTTGTATGTTGAAAAAACAAATTTAGTTTGTTCTATGGTAGCTGTTCTTTTTTGTTCATAACAGGAATTTCTTGGCTAGTTTCTTCTCTGTTACAGTATTCTACCACCTTACTTGAAGCTGCATAAAATCATGGATTCAAGTGTTTTAATTTTTCATGCTTCTCATATCATCTCGGCAGAAATGTCTTCTGAGAGCCAAATCTGGTTTCCTCACTTTCCTTCTTTCTGAAGTTGTCAGGAACCTGATAAGCCAATATGTTTCCAGACTAGAAACAGATCCTTTTGATAAAGCTTTGGGGCAGAGCTGAACAATGTCAGCAAAGTCCCTTTACATCTCTGTGGCAGTATGAAGGCCCTATAAATCTTTATGCTTCTGTGGTGATATAAAGGGATCTTAGTATATATCTATGCATATCTTACAGTTCCTTTTTATAGTACCAAATGACTAAACGAGAATGAGACCCATTGCCTCAGAATGCAGCTCTGTTCTGTGAAAGGACTGTTAAAATGGCTTCAAGAGCTTCATTTGCATCGTGTGCCAGTACATTTTCCATGAAATATGTTCAATCTGCAAGTCCAAGTTTCTTTCTCATTGCACATCTGGAATCTTAGAATTGAGCTGAATTCTATTCCTCCCCTACATCATCTGCAAGAGAAATTGAACATGCCCATCAATGCAGTAGCTCTCTAACAGTTTTCACATTGCTTTTGATGGACGTGCATGGTTAGAAGACATCTGAACACTTTCACAGAAAGGACTAGGCTCCATATTGCTTTCAGTTGTGTTGGCTTTGTTTGGGATAAGGAGAACTGAAGAGTAATTCACATTTGTTATTGAAGTCAACTGTTAGATTCTGAATGTATAAAGAAACGCGAGCTATAGAACATGGTGCTATACTTTTAATTGTCTTCAATATAATTCTCCATGGATGTTGTTACTAAAATGTCGTGAATAAAATAATTTGGTGCTCCCAACTAGTAGAAACTTTTTTTTTTAGATGTTACAGATGATAATGCATAAAATATTTTTTAATTCCTTGTACATTATGAGGGCACATAGCTACTATATCATTGAGTGGGAAGACAAAGTAGAGCTTCCTGTATTTGGTGTTTGGAATCTGAACAAAAGTGCTATGTGAAGTCTGTCACATCTCCAGTCCTAGTCAAGGTACTTGACAGCATGGTTTGCAGGGTGAAGAAAATCACTAATGGATTTCTTCTGGAAAGTTGACACCCCATTTAGCAGTCTAAAAATAGACAGATTAGGATCCTCAAAAACAAGAATCTCCTTTACAAGGGAACTGAAAAAGCTCATGTGGTTGTTTTGCCTTGGTAAGTCTTTTAATTTTAGATAAAGAGACTTATGAAGGAACTGCTATCCAGTAAGACCTGTAGATAGATTTTAGGTATCTACAGTAACAGTAATTTTTGCATCATCCATAATAACATATAAAGGCAATCTATTTCACAGAAGCCAATTTCTGTCTTTCCTAAGCCTGTAGAAAATCTCTGTCTTTGCAGTAGAAAGAAGAAGAGGCCAATGTTTATTACAAAAATGCACCATGTAGTGCACTTCATTTTGGACTCCTGCAGCTCCAATCACAGAACTAAAGTTTGTATGGTTTTGTATGTTTGGAGATGATGTGTGTAAGCTATAATAAACGGAGTGTTTTAGCACTTAATTTCTCCCACTAAGGTGCATGGGAGGAATTTTATGTCTAAAACAGAAAGATTTAAAAAATAATACAGTAAAGTAAAGCTTCCTACATTTTCCATTTGGAAGTGTAACTGTAGGAGTAGCAAATCCATTTTTAGCTTTAAAGGCTTCAGTTAATATTGAGTTTGTGTATGTAGAAGTGTACATATATATATATATATATTTAAGATAAGGAAAAAACTACATATGAGAGATTTCAAGTTTTGTCACCAGTACAAGTTGTGTTGAAAACTGTAGTAAAAAACTGACTTTTGTTTAAACATCAGATTGGTACTACAGTCAGACTGGACCAGCTATATTTTGAAGACAAGCTTAAATGCTTATAAATGCATCTGGAGTCTAAACATCTTAAACATATGAAGTATCCAGACTACTTATTGTATAGCCCAGCTCAACCCTACAGCTATTTTTGGGGCCTCAAAGATTTCACAGTGGCTTCAAATCAAATTTACTTGAAGATTCTCATAGCATCTGAGTGGGAGCAGATAGGTACCTGTTAATCCATGGTTCCACTGCAAAATGACGGGCAAGAATGCACTCCATATCCTTAATACTTGGGAATGATTGCTTGTCTTACTTTAGAGGGCAGCACTTTCACTTAAAGCACACAAACAAACAAAACAAACAAACAAACAAACAAAAGAAACAAACACAGAAGCAGGAGAACAAAGATGGCTCTAAGCACCTCATGTCATTGGATTCTTTCCTTAAATACAGGAGCAGTGAAAAATGCATTGTCCAAATGTCTGTAAAAGTTCTGTGGTTAGTGGGAAAAGGCATTCCTCACTTAGGCCCATTAAAAAGTTCCCCACAGATCTTTCTGCTCTATGGAGGAGATTTCCGCTGTGTAAGAAATCTGAGTCACCTTGCCAAAGCCAGACCACTGTGACAGCCAAGACAGTTGTTCAGAGTATGTGGCTTAAATCTGTTCTTTGATTAAACCTCCACCTTTAAGAAAACCCTTAAGAATTCATCCAGAAACAATCCGATCAACAAGATCTATATAATTAATATCTAAATCTAATATATAATTAATATCTAAAATATCTAATATCTAAAATCAGGCCTCATAAGTACATCGTAAGATGTACTTAGTACATCTGAAATCATCCCTTGGACAGGGGACATGTATGGGAACTGACCATCAAAAAACACGGTAGTTAGGCTAAATGTCATAATGTCATCTTTGCTCAGGTCCTCTGCGCAGTTGTGAGCTTAATTTCTTCAGTAATTCAGGGCAGAGTTTAAACAACTATTCCAGTTTTGTTTCAGTTGGTTTCATTTTTAACAGCCATTTGCTATCTGGGTTGCAAGTAGATGAGAGCAATGTTTAAACAATCTAAAAAAAAAGAAAAGAAAAAAAAAAAAAACAGCACTGAAAATGGAAGATAAAAGCAGTATTATTATAAATAGTAACTTGATTACTGTAAACTTACAGCTGGGGCCAAAATTGTGCATCTCTTTGTTATTCTGTTAGTAATAGTGAGCTTATATTCATAGAGTGTGTATATGCCATGTTTATCAGAATAATCAGAATAACTGTTTTAGGGAACTGTGTCCAACAGCTCTGTTAATTTTTTGCTGCTGAAAAATATTAGTCTAGCGAGGTACAGCAAAATAATGGATTCACTGCCTCAGTCAATGACATCGGAGATTTTTTCTTCCTATGAACTCTGATATTACATAGATAAAATCTTTATTTATATATATCATCTCCAGATTCATCCCGTGGTGTGGTAGAGATTTCAGACCTGACTAGGGAAAAGGATCCAGAAATCTCCCTAGAGGAAAAGACCTGAATCTTACATTCTGTGTCGTCTTAATTGCAGCTTCCCTCAGTTCCAGTGGTGCATGCAAATGCCATAGCTGGTACCCTGCATTTCACATGCAGACTAAAGAACAGAAGTAGAGGTACAGACAAACAGTTTAGGTATGTACTTACAAGTGCAGGCCCATGGGACTCCATGCCATATTGAAAGGCATTTTTGCTGCATATAAATTTTCCGTTAGCAATGGAAAAAGTGGAAAATAGCATGTGATGCTTCCTGGCCATGCATTGCTTTAACCTGTTTGATAATTTCTCAGATTGTGAGGCTCTTCAAAAGCAAAGGAAGGGATGGCTGATTAGAACTTTTTTTTTTTTTTTTTCCCCTAAGTAGAAAATATGGTCTCCCTCTGATATAATACATTGGGGGAAGGAGAATAGCAAAGCTTTTAAAGTTGGGAGGTAGTAAATAGCAAGAGAAAATAATAAATGCGTTATTTACATTATTCCTGACTGTGTTGAAAAGAGGGATCTATAATACACTGGCCCACAGTAATTGCCCTGAGAGCTTCTTCTGACAACAAATGAATTTTGGGAAACCTAATTATGGTTCTTAAAGTACCATCAATGCTTAGGCAAAGCTCCTCACTGATTCTAAATGAAGACTTGCCCTCTGAAATTGGTGGTAAGATGCAGGTCTGTGTAATACATGGTGTCCATTAATGCACCTCTGTGCCTAATTCATTGGATACATGTATAATATCAACACGTGCCCTGTAATAAACTACCAGAAACATAAGCTATATGAATAACTTAACAGTTGTACACTTAAATATAATTATGCATTTTCTTTGTTCTAATTACGATGATTGTTTTCTGTCAGCAGACTTGATTTGTCAAACTATTTGAGCAGTATTTATGTCTTTTCTTTCTTCTGTTCTGGCAAATCATTGCTCTAAATGACTCACTGCTGGGCCCCATGAAATTCCAGAGTATTTTTTCATTCTGCTGGATTATTATCCCCTGATATTCAGCTGTGTGTAAACTGAATGTGAAGTCATTAAAAGCATGGACTCAGTGATTGCTCAAATCACAGGGACATAGAGAAAAACAAAAAACCCTACAAAACAGTTGGACATTTTAACTGCAAAAGAGTATTAGTGGTAATATATTTCTCCCTTTTCACAGAGAAGCCTGAAATACCGTAAGAAGCCATGCACTATAATAACTTGTTATAATGTTGCTTTTATTAACATTATACTAATTATAATACCTTTTTATTTTTTTTTTTCCCTGCAGATTAAAGAATGGCTCTGTTTAAACTGTCAGATGCAAAGAGCGTTAGGTGGTGACTTAGCACCAGGTCATGGTCCTGGGCCACAGCTGCCTCCACCCAAACAGAAGACACCTACTCCACCTTCAGCAGCTAAAACACCTCCTCAGCCACAGCCAAGTCAAAAGAAAGATGCTTCCCCAAAACCTGACCCTGCACAACCAGCAGAACCTAAGAAGCCCCTGCCACAGAAAAAGCAACCATCCATGCCAGGGTCTCCCCCTGTAAAAGCAAAAACATCCCGTGCTGAGCCTGCTGACACCTCCCAGCAAATAGATCCTACTCCAAAGTCTGATCAGGCCAAGCCAGCACAGGCTGAAGATAAGCAAAAACAACCCAGTATACAGAAGCCTACAGCAGATACTGTGCCTACCTCTGCAGCACCAGGGCTGAAACAGGATTCGGCAGGTCCCAGGACTCCAGCAACTCAACAGAAAGTGACAGATACCCCAAAGCCAGAGCTTGCCAAACCATCACAGGATACACATCCAGCTGGGGACAAAACAGATTCCAAACCGCTTCCACAAGTGTCTCGGCAGAAGTCAGATCCCAAACTTTTAGCTCAGCCTGGGGCTAGATCAGAGGCTAAAACCCAGAAGCCTGTTGAGCCAGCACAAGTGAAAGATGATCCTAAGAAGTTACAAACAAAACCATCCACAAAGCCTGACACCAAACCAGCTCCCAAGGGCCTGCAACCAGGGGCAGGCCCCAAGCCTGTGCCGGCACAGCCAGCACCTCAACCCCAGCAGCCTCAGAAAACTCCTGAGCAGTCAAGGCGTTTCAGCCTTAACTTGGGAGGCATCACTGATACCCCTAAGCCTCAGCCTACGACACCACAGGAAACAGTTACTGGCAGACTTTTTGGATTTGGAGCTTCAATCTTCAGCCAGGCCTCCAATTTAATTTCCACAGCAGGTCAGCCGGGCTCTCAGACATCAGGCCCTGCTCCAGCCGGTCCTGCTGCAAAGCAGCCCCAGCCTCCAGCACAGCCTCCAGCCTCCCAGGCACCCCCCAAAGATACCACTCAGACTCAGCCTTCTCCAAAATCTGTTCCTGCAAAGAAAGAAGCCAAGCCTCTTACGAGTGAAAAAATGGAGCCAACAAAAGTGGATAGTGTTTTAACAACTAAGGGATCTGATTTAGAAAAGAAACCTAGTTTGGCTAAAGATAGCAAGCCTCAAGCTGCTGAAGCTAAGAAACCTGCTGGGCTGTCGGAACCGGAAAAGGCCAGCCAGCCTAAAGTGTCTTGTCCCCTTTGTAAAACTGGACTAAATATTGGTTCTAAGGATCCCCCCAACTTCAATACATGTACAGAGTGCAAGAAAGTTGTGTGCAATCTCTGTGGATTTAATCCAATGCCACACATAGCTGAGGTAAGGCAACAGAGTCAGTATTTATCTTGCATTCCTACCAACAGCCTCCCTGTGCTGTGGAGACCTTGTAGCTGATTTTAGCTGTTGATTTGTTGTGGAAAAAATTGAATGTTTAGTCTGCTGGCTTTTAAACTTAAATTTCTGTGTCATATGAAACTTGGTCAGCAGTTAGAAAGTACTTCCGATGAATTTTTGCAGATTAAAGACGTCTGATATGGCTGGTTGCTAGGTTTTTAAGACATAAGCAGGTCGTTTATTGTGAAATCTTCTTAAATCAGTGCTACTATAATATAGCAAACTACTGTACTTTCCAGTCTACCATGTGATAGTTATTTTCCATATGCTTCAGTATCATATATTGACATGTATGCTTCCTCCATTGATCAGTGCCCCTGATTCAGGCAACTACTGAATGAAGGAATGTATTAATGCCTAGTTACTCTTCTTCCCCAGCTGTGTAATATATCCCTAAATTTATTCCATTAATCTCATTCTGGATCTGGAGTCTTTGTACATGCTGCTGTATTCATTAGCAAGGTTGAAGTTTGAATGATACCTGTATGGTGATATACGGAAGGTTCTGATATATGTGGTGATATATGGAAGTTGCTTCTTTCTTTGGGGTGTGTGAATTTGAAAATGCCTTTTCTGTGATCTCAATAGGGACCAAGCAGGATCAACATCTATTTAATAGAATTAAACAACTTATTTTCAAATGTTTTCTCAAATTCCATGTTTTTGCCCTCCTTCCTTTCTTTCTCGTATTTTTTTTTTTATAAATGGAAAGGAGATTGGAAACTTTATTATAGCTTAACAGAAAGGTGGAGGCACGCCTTACTTGATGTCTCAAATTGGCGAAGTTCAACTCAACTAGACCACCTAAAAATACTTGTGAGTAATTTAGATGTGTAAGTTGGTCTATGTAATACGTAGGAAAAGTGACACGGTGTTGTCATTGAAATCTGAATGAATAAATCAGAAATATCTGCCTGGGTTAAAGGTTATTGCATCTCTGCCCTAAGGTGAGAACAAATGTTGAGATAAATAATCAATATTTTTCCTGCAGCTTGCTATGTTGTGCACTTTTTTTTGCTGAATATTTTACTGAATATACTATCAGTGGAAAGGCCTTTCCTACTATAATCAGCACATTTTATCTACCTTACAAATATGTTAATTACTGTCTTTATGGTCATTTAGGTCAGAAAGAAAGGTCTGAAAATGCAAGAGAATATATTGGTGCTTGAAAGCCTGGCTTTCATTGTCTTGGTGCTTGTGCACTGGAATCTATCAAATGCACAGCAATTTCTTGTTCACTGCCCAAACCTCTGCCCTATGTGTACGCACACACATACATTCACTCTCTCTTAGGTTTTAAATGCAAAAAATGCATATGACTTTCTCCAGAGGTACTTTATTATGCATGCACAGAATATTCTAGAAACAAGATGTGTCAGTTCTGGTGAAACGCTATGCAAAAATGACATCTATGCAAGTCCTGATGCATGACTTCACTTCTTCAGACTTGATTTAGGCTTGGTGGTGCCTAATGGACTGCATTGTGGTGGGCAGATTTCTCCTCTGTATTTTTGCTTGTGTTGAGAAGGCTGCTGTTCTGTTTCCTCTCTCCCATCACTGTTATTATCAGATGATTCTTTCCATTTCAACCCTTGTGAATATACAGAACCTGAAATACTACTGATTTCCTTTAGTCTGACTTCCTCATACCTTTCTTTGCCTCTTTTTTGTTTCCTTGCTGCATTTTCTTCTTTCCTCTACTACACATTTTCACCTCTGTCCAGTTTTCCATCTTCTATTTCTGATCATTTTTGCTAAAGATTGGCAAAAACCTCTTTTTCTTGAGAATGGATGGTAGCTTGCATGGTTGAGGACAGCCTGACTTTCGTTTGCATGAAGATGGAAGACAGAAGAATGAGCTCATCCTGTCCTCTCCCAAATGAGCTGTGCAAATAATGTATTTAACCTCAGATATCAGTTCTGTCCCTATAACCATTTCATATACTATATAGCTGTTATACAACAGAAACATGATAGTCTATGCTCACTAGCATGCTTTTTTTCCTCCAGCAAATTCCTTTCTAACATGTTGAATACAGTCTTGGAGGTTTTATTTATTTGACTCTTTATTTTTGAAGGGTTAGGAAGGAGAAATAGAAATGCTTTTTAGAATTGGTTTGTCTTGGGGTTTTATGCCTAATTCCTTTATTCCTATCTTCTGCATTTGATGAAAATAATTATATCTATATATAGAGAGAGAGATCCCTTTAGGGATCTAAGGCTTTATTCCTCTTGGCCCCATAAAGTGCTTTGAGCAAACAAATGTAACCATTATTTTATAGTTTTGCTTTTGGGTTGCAGCTGTATCACAGTGATTCTAACAGCTGCTTATGTATTATCGATATATTGTTGCCTCAGTAACAGCTGAAAATGAGGTGAGTTTTACTGAGTGCGTGATGGCCCAAACATTCTTGCTAACAAAGCTTGTATTGAGCTGTACAGTAAGAATCAGACTGACACAGCAGGGAAACCTATGTTTCATTGACAAATAGAGAGGAGCATCTAAACTCAATGGGCACTTCTGCCTGAGAAACTTTTTAGCAGGGAGGATCCTCCAGGCAGCGTGCTTCTGTACTGCAGACATGGCTGCAAGTACTTTAAAGGGGAGGAGGTGCTTTCTTACAATGACAGTTACTTGCTCTTGACTGTATGTGACACAGTTAACTTTTAAAATGTATATTTTATGCCATTGCAGATGGTTGGTCCACTGACAGCCTCTCTTCCGCAGGAAATATGAGAATTAGGCTCTGGCCTATCTAAATCAACAATATGCTATTTACTTCACCGAAATTACACTGGTTTGTGTGAGCTGAGAATTAGACTAGAATATTTTTACCTAAAATGGGCTGGTTGTTCTTTTTCTCCCTGATTTGTTGCTCCAACAGTCAAACAGTTATTTACTTAAATGGTAATTTATCCATGAGGCAAACAACTACAAATGATTAAATAAATGGCACTTGATAGATTTCAGACCCACAGGACCATGTTGCGCCTTAGTGCATTAACAGACTCCTTATTCTGCCATTTGCTCAATAGGGAGGAGCACTGTTTACCAGCTCAGTAATTAGCTTTCCAGCTCAGGTAGTTGGAAGCAGCTCTATTTTTAGTAACAAAGCACAAGATCACGACTGCAGAAGCGAGAAATGAAGTGTGGCAACGACCATTTTGTGCATTTAAAACTCAGTGAAGCTGTTCAGAATATTGAACAGGAGTGGAGATGGTTGCCTATATGTAATTAAATATGTTGAAGCAGCAGGGTCAGGAATATAGAAGCTATGATGATTTAATATGCTATTAAAATAATAATGATAAAAGATTTGAAAACTGGATTGTGGAAAAACTGAGAAATCCAAATTTTAGAATCGGTGTGGGCAACAAGTAAAAATAACATCTTAACCGTCTTACATTACGAATAGAAAGAACTCAAAATGTAGCCTGTATATGTGAGTGTCCTAATGGATCTAATCTAATAGAATTGCCAAGGGAACAATGGAAGCACTTTTTAGTCTATTGATTACTATGAAATTATCTGGAAAGGTACTTGGAAATAATAAAAAAAAAAATGTTCCATGTTTGAAATAATTTATTGGGCCTATAGAAAGGAGAGAATTATTTTGAATGGAGGAGAAGGACAAGGTGGACTTGGGAAGGGCAGAAAAGACTTCATGACCCAAACTTATGAATGATTTTGTGTTTGAAAAAGATATAATAGGGTAGATGTAATCGGAATAGATAGTATGAACAATTTTACATACAGAATGGTGCTTCTTAATATGTTTATTACAGTGAATATCATATAAGCAGTGGTCTGTAAACAATGACCTTGATGATCCCTCTCCAATCCATATTCTTACATCGATAATTTTTATATAAAAATATCTATTACCCAGTAAAATAATTTGAATACTTTTTTGATAACATATTTTCCCACAGGTCCTTATTAGACCAAACTAAGTAAATATTTTTTTTCAGCTCCACAAATACTGTAGAGAGTGGGAAAAGCAAAAAGATAAACTCATTTGCTAATTAAGAGCAGTGTTATCATTAAACTCAATAGCATTTCTAGAGTTAATAGTAAAGAGATAGCATTTTGGAACTGATATAAGCCTCTCCGGAGGTGTAAAGCTGAACTAATCTTGGGTTCTTGTATGTCCTGCTTAGAAAAAAAAAAAATGCAGAAAGGGTACTGACATGGCTGGGTCCTTGATATAAATTCTGGCAGTTTCTCTTTTTTTGAAACTTTCAACGAAGTCTATCCTCAAATGGAGAAAGAACCTCAGCAGTTGTGGCCCTACCTATAAATAAACCCTGTGATTAAATGAACAACGTGGCTTAGGCTTCTTAAAGCAAGTGAGCAGGAACGATGTAAAGTAACAAGCTATCCATGATTGTAATGAAAATCCCTAAAATGGTGTACTGCATCATCTGAGGTGACACCCATTGCCTCTCTAATTTATTAACAGCTCTGTACTATTTTGTTTTGGCTATTTGAGAAAGCTCAGACCATTCTGCAAGTTTGCAGGTTTCACTCCTATTAGAAGTTCCTATCTCCTCTGTTGTATTTAGTGAAGTTGTTTTTGAAACAGATGGTGTCTGGGAAACAGTGTAGAAAAATTTGCACTTAAGATACAAAGAGAAAAAACAACCATTCCTTTCAGCTGCATAATTTATCTGCTCTGCCTCTTCCCTCTTCCTTTATATTTAAAGCTTCTTTTAAAATTTTGATTGTAAGAAAGTGAATGCTATTATTGTTTAACAGTAGCCAAATAATACAGAAATTAATAGGCTAACACAATGTATTCACTGAAGTTTATGGAAATTTTATCCATTAAATTTTAAGTCTTTATAATTGAGAAAATGTTAAAACTACTACTAATTACTATTCTGAAAGATAACATCTGGCATTGAAAATAGAGTTCATG